CATATGTGAAAGCATTTTCACCATTACAGTCTCACCACAGGCAAAACCATGTTGTCCTTTGCTAGAAAGTCTGGGCTCTTTGGCCTTTTATTGGTTAACTGATTCAATATGGCTCCATTGGGCAAAAGGGATAAAAGTCCCCCTTGGCCATGTTCTAATATATAAATACTAATATATTTAAAGGGGAAACATAGTTTTGGAAGTATTTGGTTTTAATTCTATGTTGCTCTCAATACTTTTTACTTTTTAGTATACACCGATGACACATCATCATCATCACCATCATCACCATCATCACCATCATCACCATCATCATCATCATCATCATACAACAATTACTACTACTATTACTTAAGCACATTGTGAATTTTAAACTTTTTAAAATTGTTGTAAGCTGCCTTGAATCCCAAATATCGAGGAAAGAACTGCGAAAACCATCTCTGAGTATTCATTACCTAAGAAAACCCTGTGAAATTAATTAATAGGTCTACAGTCAATTTGAAGACACATTCAGAGATAGAGAGAAACCTGAAGGTGAAAACCAAAACATGAGATATGCACCTAAAACCATACACATTATAAAATGGTTCACTGACTGACATGAACTTTGACCTCTGCAGGTTTGGGGTGAAAAAAACAAAAGTTCTGAAAGGAGTGAGCCATTCCAAACAACATTAGACTAAAACTGAATTCTATGAATTCTATGGAAAGTACCTTTGGGCCATTACGGATGGCCAAGAAAGAACCATCCTTGCATGCATTCATCATTTACTAGAATCAGTTTTTGAACAGCATCAATATTTCATGACATCCTTTGTGAGGACATTGGTTTAAATGGCAGCACACACCCCATATAATATATTATATTACAGTTACATTATTTTTATTTGTATCCTACCTTTTTTCTAAGGTGGTCTAATGCCTATTAACAGTCTAATAAAACACAATAAAACTATACATGAATTTAAATCAGTCATAAAAACACCTCCTAAATAAAAACACGGAAATATTACAAGTCCAGCATATTAATTTAGCCTGTCAGTTATTAAAGGTCCACTTGAAGCAAAAGAGGTTGACCTGCTGGTGGAAATAAAACACAAAGGGGACTGAACTAATTTCTCTGTGATGGGGATTCCATAATCCAAAAATCAACCACCAAAATTGTCTTTACCTATGTCCCCACCATTCATACCTTTTAGTAGGGTGGGGCTAAAAAGGGGGGCACCTCCAGTAGATCTTAAAATCTAGAGAGGCTTATACATAGAGATACAAATTACCTGCACCATAGCTATGTGAGTTATAACCAACACCCCTGAACTGTGCACAAAAATGTGCAAATCACCAGGGAAGCCATAATCATTATATACACACAACTTTTTATTAAGGATGTTGCACTCATAAAGCAAAAAGGCAAAGCTATTATATCACCATGCTGCCATTTGGTTGTCATTACAAGCCAACACTCTATGTGACTGGTTAGGCTAGGAAACACGAAAAGAGATAGGGGGAGAAGTTTGACTACAAATATCCAGTCCTCATAATTCACTAGGATGGCCAAATGTGCTTTGGGAATAATCACCAGAGAACATTTTCTGAGGGTTAAAGTGTAAATAGCTAATAGATCAATAAGTAATTTCTTGCAAGAGGAAGTATTCCTTCTTCAGCAAAGTAGTACAGTTGTTAAATCAAACTCAGACTTAATATATTAACACTGCTTAGATTAATCTAAACACTGGAAATACTCAACTGCCCAAGACAAGTTTATCTCATCTGATCATTTATTTAGGATACCATAAAATTCAGACACTTTCCATAGTAACTGCAACTGATATACTCAATGGCAACTTGAAATTACTCCATTAGACTTCTTAGGGTGACAACCCTATTTTTCTGTTCAGAATTTATTGTTGCACGGTAATGGTGGGATCAGCCTGGGCTTGTGAGGATTAAGAAGGTGTCAGACGAAATGGGATCATCACCATTCTTCTGACAGATTTCCTTTGTAAATCTGCTTGAACTAATACAAGCTTCCCTGACATTCATATAAAGACTAATAGTATTAATATAGTGGAGAACAATGATAGAAGACAGCTATAAAACTCGCTGCTTCAGGCACCGGACCAAGGGTGTTTTGTAGGGATGTACGAAACAGTAGAATCTATACTGTTTTCAGTTCCGTTTTTAACTCCCCCCCCCCCCCAGGTTCCATTACTGGGAAAAGTTGGAAAATTTGGGAGGAGGGGATTGGATCTGTAATTCGGGATCCAGAGTTCCACTTTCATTCCAGGAAGATTTGGATCATCGACAGCAACTGGGAAGCCTGTCTCCCCATCATCTTTTCAGCTATCAGAGCCACACTAGCCACACTTGTAGGACACATTCAGAACTATAAGCCTGCCATGTTTCAAATCATTTCACCAATCCACTGATTTTTGAGAATTTTTAATTTTTTTTACCAATAACATTGGATGTGAAGTCCAAATCATCCCATGCCAGGATAGGGGAGGAGAATGGACAGAACCAAGCCTGTGATTGGTTGAGAAAATGATGCAGCTGGCTGCATTTAGGAGCATTCTGGTGTTTGTGTGTGTGTGTGTGGGGGGGGGGGGAGTAATTTCTCCATAATGTTATGGCTATCCAAATTTCAAGTCATTTCTCTAATCCACTAAAAAATTATGGATTTTTTAAAACGTTTTTACAAATAGCATAAAAACCCAAAAGAGGCAGGCATGGTGGTCCATGAGAAGGCCTTACTGGTACATTATTTAAATGTTATGTTTATTCATATCATGATCTGATCACCATGCTCAATATATCCCATATGCATGGGGGTATTGGGATAATGATACAAAAGGTTTGCTAGGGTAGACCCTCTTTCACTCAGACTCAGCCCCCCCGAATCAAACTCAGCTCCCCCCGAATCAAAATCCTTGCTATGGGTCTGTCCCCTGGAATTTCTCTCTAGTGACAGAATAGGAGTAGGGCATAATTCCTGCCAAGTGTCAGAAAGATTTCAGAATTTCAGAATTTTTCCCAATTTAAGTACCTTGGGTGAATCACATTCTCTCAGCCCAAGAGGCTTGACAATTTTATTTTTTACAGGTATCAGGATAAAACTTGTCACATTTGTAGGCCACGTTTATGACTGCAAGCCTGCCAAGTTTCAGAATATTTCATTCATTTGCTGATTTTCACCAATAATATATTTTTTAAAAAAAACAGAAGAGGGGTTTCCGAGATTTGAACCAACATGTGCCACAAGAGGGAAGGAGAATGAACACAGTTGACAAGGCCTTCCTGATCCATTTCCGGTGCCTTGGCAGCCAGATCTCAGTAATTATCCAAAATCTGAAGTGACCAATGGAATTTCACACACCCCTAGTGTTTTGCCAATCTGGCTATAGGTCTATTTTGGATGGGACCAACTATCCAGTCTTTTCCAACATTATACATGAGTTTCCAAGCCATGGGCACAAAGTCTCTACCTATATTCATATTCATTTGCAGATGTAAGGTAGTCATATCACGGTCTTAGACTATGGACTTTTTTTGAGTACATGATGTTTCCAGGATAAAGGAGGATTAGAGTTCCCAAAATCCTCACGCATGCATGGAAGCATTGATTACCTTGGTAAAGTCTATGGCATTTACAAGATTAAAAAATGAATTCAGTTATTCCAAATTATTTTTAGGATGGATTTGGTAAGGCTGAGAATGAGAGAGCAGCTGCTATGTGCAAGTTGTGAGGCTTTTCCGACAAAAAGGGTCAAACACCATGATACACATAGCCCATATCTTGAAGTGGTGCTCCCTTAAATATAAAAAGATGTCAGTATTAGTGAATGCTTTCCTACATCTATGTATTTTGCAAAGGGGCTGTATTTTGTGACTGATCACAAAAGACAAAGCTTGCAAGTCTGATTGCTGAGCCAGGCTAAAATCTAGATAACTGACCAGACAACGGTGCCTTGAAGCCACCACCACTGCCACTATTTTGCCAGCCAAAGGAATGTCCCTTGCTGCCAACATAACTTCTAGAGATCACATGGCTGGGTAGGAACCCTATTGTGATCTCACCTGAAGTGACACTGCCACTAAGACTCTGCCAGGGAGCTACAACTAAGTTGGCAACAGAGTGGTGAGTCTTTCTAATGTGTGTACAATGAATCACTCGAGATCCAATCTGATCTAGCTGTCCACATTTCAAAAACACTGGGATCACTCTAGAGTTTCCTGGAAACTCCAGAGTAACTTATGATTCTCTTTGTTTCAGATTAACAGCTAAAAGCAGTGCTATTGCTGCAAAAGTGACCACATTCCACATGGACTGCTTGTAGTGGTTGCAAGGTATATTTTATTTGGCCCATGTTGACATGGTCTCCCACATGGTGTTAGAGCAGTGGTTCCCAACCTAGGGTCCCCAGATGTTTTTGGCCTACAGCTCCCAGAAATCCCAGTCAGTTTACCAGCTGTTGGGATTTCTGGGAGTTGAAGGCCAAAAATATCTGGGGGGCCCAGGTTGAGAACCACTATGTTAGAGGGAAAGAGATGCTAAAGTAGTAAATATATGTTTCCCATATCATCTAGTTTGAGTCCAAGTTCAAACAGAAATGAAAAATTCTGAGCAGGTTAGAACGGTAGTATTCATTTTTGTTATCTCATCCCAATTCCCACAGATCACCAAAACAGTCTCCATTTAACCAAAATGACCCAGAATCCAATCTGCAGCCCTGTTAAATCCTACTGAAATCAGCAGCTCTAAAATAGCTTAAAGCATCTTGCTGTGACCCAATAGGATTAGTTTTCCAATGCCAAAATCTCTTCCGAAAATTGGATTGAAATTTATAAATCACTTTACTGCTTTGAGGGGGGAGGGGGGAAGATAACTCAATGGCAGGGAATCAATTTCAGCAAAGGACACCATTGTAATTGGCATTGCAAAAGCAGAAATTGAAACATAAAGATAAACAGTAAGATTACATTTTGCTGATGGTACTTACGATGTGCAGCTCTAAATAATCTCCGAGCCCAGTAGAGCTATCCACTCGCACCAAAACAGCTTCTTTCTGAACTGTGCTAAACCCTATTGCCAGTCTATCTGCTCGCGTGCTGGGCCGATCGTTGGGAGGCCAAGTATATGTAATTTGTCCACCGCCTTTACTAAATATATATGTTGTTCCCGCTGTAAGAGAGAGAGAGAAAAGGAGAAAGAAGGATTAAGTTTCATGTCCTGGTATTTTAAAAAATAAAGTCTTACACATAATTCAACTGTTATTTAATTGCTATTGTTATTTAAAAGTTTTTTGGGAATGATAGATTTGGGATTCTGTTTCTCCCAAAAGCACTCTTAGTTCTCTTTATGATTTTGAAAATTAAAACATTCACACAGACATATATGGATTCAACCATCCATGCCTTGGAAATACTCACAAACAGAATCAAAAAACAAACTTTGATTTTGTGATTTTATGTAAAGCAGTGGTCCTCAAACTGTGGGTCTCCAGGTGTTTTAGTCCACAACTCCCAGAAATCCCAGCCAGTATGCCAGCTGTTAGGATTTCTGGGAGTTGAAGGCCAAAACATTTGGGGACCCACAGGTTGAGAACCACTGATGGAAAGGATACCATTTTACTGTACCATTATATATAATAGTATTGAGCATCCACTGATTTAGGCATCCACAAGGAATCTTGAAACCAAACTGCAGCAAATATTGATGGCCTACTGTATAAATCCTCTATGTTCTCTAGATATTTAGCGGCTCTTTCTCACACCTATTTTCCATGTCAGACCATACATGGGGCATACAGAACCTTTCCTGCCCTGAAGACCACGTCAGCTGGAGAGAGAGGGTCACATGCACATAGAAAAACACATGGATGTCATCACCGACTTGTTTTCCACTCACTCTTCTGTGGTAATATTTTTCTTGTTGGGGTTTTCCTAACACTTTTTGAGCTACCCCAACTTTTCATATATTGTTTCTGTTGCTAACCACCAGAGTTTAATTTTCTTTCCCTGGATTGCCAAATACAAAGAAATACAAAGAAATGAAGTGGCTAGAAATCAACTTCTGACCTTGAAAAACTGAAGCTTCCAGGAAAAATTATACATCTCTTCTTGAACAGAAAGGGGGGGGGGCAGTCTGGATGAAGAAAGGGCCACAAAATAGTCATGGAGACATATGTGTCTCCAAGGTTGCCCTTTGTCCGTACTCATCCATAGCAACCTAATGTTTCACTGAGCAAAACATCAGTTGGAAACCTAATCAGAACTAGGCCAGCTAGGGAGTAAGGAGGCTCAGTAACATTTTGTTGCTGGTCCCACTTGCATTGTACGAAATGCCAACTGTTGTAAAAGGAAATGTCATGATATATACTTCCAAGAATCACTAACATTTTTGATCCAGACGAGTCAATTGAGGACAGTGGGTGAAACAGTCTGGAGATATAAATATGGCCTGTCGTGTGGTTAAGTCTCTCTCCTGCCTCCTGAATGCCATGAGCTCTTTCTCTGAAGTGTCACAATAAATGAGGCACAGCTTCTTCGCCTCCATGTTGGCTTCCCTTTGCTCAAGAGTTTCATCAATTCAGTCAATGTATTTTGCAGCCAGGCAGCTTCTGATAAGCAATTTAGTAGCCCATATTGTTGACATTTCCTCCCCTTCTCCTTTCCTACTCCATTTGCACACATATATTTGGGGTTTTCTCTTATTTCCTCTCTTAAAAATTGGGGGAACAAAAATGTAGCCAAAGTGACAATAGGTCTGACTGTGCTACAAATCTCTCAGCCTGCTTCTGGATTGCAAATTGCCAGCCTGCATCCTCTGCAAGCAAGCCTGTCAACCTCTTTTAAACTTTGAAGGACAAGGAGGATGTCTGATCACAAGCCCTCTGGCACTGAAAAATGGATACGCGTGTAATGACCCATTTTATGTGGTCCAGATCACCTTCAAACTAAAGCATGGATGGAGCAATCCTACAAAGGCCATTTCATGCAATGTGTACAAATATACGAGAGGTGGTCATTTGCATTTGAATGCAAAGACAGATGTTTGTTCCAGATCTCTGGATTTGTAAAACTTCACCATTCTGAAATAATATTTGAAACCAATTTTGAGACTATCATTTGGTTAGAAAATGCTAGCTGAAGAACATAACTAGGAGAACCTAAACTCGCAGAAGACAGCTCCTGGTACTCCTAACTGAAATGCACCAATGTATGAATGAAGACTTTATCATTTTTTTTCATCCAGTATTTGTGTGTTTGGGGCACTGTTTCACAAGTGCACTGAAAAGAAAATTATCTTGCACCTTCACAAGACAATTTCAAGAAGTGTTGTTTTTCCCAGTATAGCAAGACCCATGTTGTAAATGCATCCCACAAAGTTGCTGAAAATCAGCAAAAGAAAAAGTAGCAAACCCTGATTATGATTGCGGTGCAGATGAACCATGTTCCAGGAAAAGCACTGTCAAAGCACCCTCCAAAAGTTGGTCATCATGCCTTTCTAATAATAAACCCTTGGGAAGTGTTAGACTTGTGATTTTGTGATATGAAATCCGGCATATATATCTTGTTTGCTGTGTCATACAGTGTTTTTGTGTCAGTAAAATAACAACAACAAAAACAACAACAATAATTTATTTTCTTACCCACCTCTCCTTGTGGCTCAAGGTGGGATAATAATAATAATAATAATAATAATAATAATAATAATAATAGGAAAGTATGGATCATTGATGTTGCAATCCCAGGTGACAGCAGTATTGAAGAGAAACAACTGGAAAAACTGACACGATATGAATATTTAAAGATCAAACTGCAAAGACTCTGGCACAAGCCAGTCAAGGTGGTCCCAGTGGTGATCGGCACACTGGGTGCAGTGCCTAAAGACCTTGGCCTGCACTTAAACACAATCGGCACTGACAAAATTATCATCTACCAGCTGCAAAAAGGCCACCTTACTGGGATCTGTACACATTATTCGCCAATACATCACACAGTCCTAGACACTTGTGAAGTGTCCAGCAAGGGATCCAATATAACAGAGTGATCTTGTTTGCTAAGGACTCATCCTGTTGTGTTTCTAATAATAATAATAATAATAATAATAATAATAATAATAATAATAATAATAATAATAACCGCAGAGGCCATCCAGTCCAACCCCCTTCTGACATGCAAGTAAACCACAATCAAAGCACCCCCTAAGTGGTGGGAGAGAAATATTGTTTTGGAAGCAAAGATAATGTGTGTGTGTGTGTGTGTGTTGGGGGGGGGGGGGTTCTTGGTAGCAAGCAAAAAGAGACTGAGCATCGAGAGAGGCAGAGAGAAAGGGTCTATGCCCCAGGAGGACATTGCTGCTGCTGTTGTTTCCACCAGCTCAAAACTTTAATTTCCCTACATTTCTCAGGAGTGGGAAAGAGGAGGAGGTGGGAAGCAGCATGAAGCCTCTATCACCCATGGAGCCCCAAGGTCTCAGTGGAGCACAGTTTGAGAACTCTTGTTCTATAATATTGAACCATGGCAGCTGAAATTGTGTCAAAATAGAATCATAGAATCATAGAGTTGGAAGAGACCTCATGGCCCATCCAGTCCAACCCCCTCGATGAAAGCATCCAACTGCACTTCGATGGACATCCAACTGCACTTTGATGTTTTGTCCCATTTTTTTTTAAAAAAATCTTTCCATCCCCATTGCAAATAAATTTGTGTAGTTGAGTAAACTGCTGTCATAACTAGACTGTATTGAAATTCTCAGCCGTCACTAACAACAGCTTGTAATCCTACACTCTCTGCTAAACTGTTGGAAAACGACATAAGACAAATGAGACTTTCTCTTTCTTTTTTTTTTCCAGGGGAGATTTAACTCTCGTTCTGCTCTTTTGCCTTCCTGCCCATCCCTCTGTGGCCAGAACACCAGCTGAGATTCAGATAACCGGCTAATTAATCTGTGTTGATGAGCAGTAGACCTTCTTTTGTCTAATCCACAAAGCAGCTATTCTTTGAGCTTCCCATGTTAATTATGCAAAAATGGGCTATAAGCCATTTGAGAACAGGGCCCTTAGTGTTTATATTTCAGGCAAGGCAAATATAATAATGTAAAATTCATTACTTGGGGAACGATTGGTGGTTTATTGTCCTGCCCCCTCCATTAACTATTAAATCCTACAAAGAGCCAAAGCAATGGTTCTAATAAAGCATCAGGATTGCTATCAATTTCAGATCTGCCACGGAAGGATAAGAGAAAGCGCTTGGGGAGTCCTAACAGCTAAAACCCAATTTCTTTCCCCAAGTGTAACCTTAAAGCCAATGGCACAAAACAGAACTTGGGGTTGACTATTCCAACCATGAATTAAATCATCAAATTGTTGAAGTTAATCAAGGGAAGAGGTTTCACCAAAGTGTTAACTGTATTAGTCTGTTTCGGGGTAAAAAAAGGAGGGAATGGGGTGGTAGGGAAGAATGTAGCATCAGTCTTGAGACTGATTTATTTTAGCATGAGCTTTTGTAGACATCAAATGACTTCTTCAGATGCACTAATGGGATGATATAATGTCATGGGTTTTTAAGCATGTCACACAGGGCCTGTCCAGATATTACCTTTAACCCAAGACCTTCCACAGCAAACAGGAGGGTAGCCAGATGCCATTCCCTGTAAACTCAGAAGCAATTGCTACAAACGGCTAAAAAGCGAGATTTTCAGGTGTGGGAATATCCTGGTTCTGAGCCAAAAATCTGCATCTTTGAATGTCTGTATGTCCCTGCACTCAGAAATCACAGGATTTTTTAAATCTAGGTTTGTTCCCAGATTTTAGATGTTTGTTCCTGATTGGTCAGTTCCTAAAAAGAAGGTGACAGTTGAGTAGAATGTAAAAACTTTGTTTGTGTGCCAAAAAATTCATGAAATATGTGGAGGTACATTTTCTCTGGCCAGGACAAATATGTGGCTCCCTAGTCAACACTGTACATTTTTTCACAATAAGAGAAATCAGGAACAGACAACCAGGAACAACACCCTGTCTGCACAGATGGCCATGCAGCTTATATAACCCAGGAACAGAACTTATACAATGATTCATATCTTTGCGTGTTCACATCTTACATTATTTTTTCAAAAAATAATTCTGGTGGAAGTCCCACAGTGGCCATCTTGGGAGCCTCTAAATCCCACAACCAAGC